TTAAACTTATATTAAAGTTTTTTCTTCATTACCCATTCAAGCCGTCTCCAACCATTATTAGTCTCAAAGTGGGTTCCTCATCATCGAATTATACTGTACCTAAATTCAGTAGAATGTTCAGGAACAGAAGAAAAAAATTCTTCCACATATGATTTGAAGATGATTATCAACAAAAAAATATATTAAACATTGCCTCTAAGTTGAACTTACAGAATAGATGTTTTATCTAGATCTTGTACATCTGTTCTATTCAGGACTGACTTGTGATAACGTTTTTTTTCTTCGTTTTAGCATTAAAACAATTAACTCAATTTTAAAGGTGAAATAAGCCACATGTTAGGGTGGTTTTTATTTTTGTTTATAAGGATGAATTTATGTGGTGTACAATATTACAATTTTTGTGAAATATATTTTTAGTCAAGGATGAGGGAACTTTGAGCATTAAACACGAGTGACGTAAAGTAATAAGAGCAAATTTGATATATATTTTTTTTAAAGTACAAGTAACTTGAAGTTGTGCAAGATATACAGATAATATCGAGGTAGATGAAATGTTCAGGTTGTTTATAAAGAAATTCATTAGTATGCTTGCTTTCCTTCAATTATGACGTCAAAACAGCCTACCTATATGTTAAGATTAATATTTATCTCTACAAAAAATGAATTGATTTATTGACATACAGCTGATTAACTAAATGTACCTCCCATTTATTAATAAAGTATTTTGTGTGGAGACTTGTATTTTTTATTAAACATTTAATGTGTTTTACTGTTTTGACACCTTGAAATTAATGTTGATGAATGTATGAAGGAAAAATGACCAATTCATTTTTATGCAACTTGTTTGTAGGGTTATTATATATATGTTTGCTATTGAAATTTAACTGCACATACACATGTGTGTACTTTATATAATCATAAAATTGGTTGGCATCAGAACCAGACAAAATAAAATGAGGGAATCCTCAATAGCCTCAACACTTGAAATTCTTTTAGGCAGGATTAGAGTAGATTAATGTATGAAACCTTTTTTTTCCCTACACTTTTGTGCATCAGCAATACCAAGTGTGGGGCTCGCATATACCTGAATCAATTTTATTATTCGTCGGGATCTCTACCAGCCTACGCTCAAGTTGAAATTCTTTTAGGCAGGATTAGAATAAATTAATGTATGAGATCATAGACGTGGTCAAATACATCAATCGGAAGAGTTTGATTTACTGAATCCAAACTATAATTACATCTCAAATTGGTCAAGAGATGACGGAGATATGAGCTAAAAGTTTGTACTTGAAAAAAACAAACAAAAAAATTCGGAGCCGTTCTACTAGTCGCTATGCCACGGCTAAAGACACTTTGTGAATAGACACAGTAGAATGTGGGGACGAAATTCCTGCAAGTGACAAGTAATTATGGGTTGACTTTTCGAGAACTTTCGATTTACGTTGTTTGGCGAGTTTTGTGCCGATTTTTGCAGTCATTCAGCATGCAGTATTGTACATGTTGTTTTATAAAGTTTGATGGTTACATTCGTGTTTATTTCTTCCCATTCGTGACTTTGAATTAAGAATACAAAAAAAAAAAACAACTTCAAATTTCGTTGAAAGTTTATATTTTTGTGGTAGAATCACTAAAACATCTGCTTATTGTGCAATGATGAATGAAGTACTAAAAACTAAAAATGGTACAATTGAAACATTTGGTGATAAACAACATTAGAAACTTGGGAGGAGGTTAAAGAAGTAATTCAAGCATCCATAGCACAGAAAAGTAGAACAAATGATGAAGGGTCGAACACTACTAAAGATGCTGGAAAAATTAGTTTTCTTTTTTGAGTTAGTTACAAAGAGCATAAGTGGTTCACCCTACATCTTTGGCAACTTGGTGTACCTGAGTTTTCAACCTTCACCCTGGATGTGGCATCTCTAGCAACTT